GCATATAAATGTAATCAATCAATCAATCAATCAATCAATCAAATTATTATTTTTTACTTAGTTAACCAAAAATGGAAAGAAATTCATAGAATGAATTTGATTTACAACTCTCTGAATAGCTTCCCAAGGGTCACAAGAAAATGGGAAATTGTAGGTTTTCAGTGCAAATACCTGAATTACTTATAATTTATTTTTCCCCTTAAAATTTATTAAAGTATTATCAACAAACATGAAAATATAGATTTGAAACAAGCAAATGACAAATGTAGTTTTCCTGTCATATTATTTAAACTAATCAACCTGTGAAGGAACCTATGATTTATTCCTGTATATAAATACATTATATTTAACACTGTGTTTACCAACTAGTTATACTGCTGCACTGATAAGATATAGTGAAAAATCATGCAAGTAAAAAATCATTCACACATCTTTTCATAATGTCTTCTTCATAACTGCTTTTCTCTTACTCAATATACCAATCAGAGAAGTTGGATCTAAGATAGATCTACTTAAATCATTTGAAACAAAAAGGTCATAGCTAATGTTTCTCTTCCTCAGTGAGATTGCTTTAAGCACAACCAGGCATTGTTCCAACTTATGGATACAGCAATTCCTTCTTAATATTTAAAACAGTAAATTTTTACATTATTTTATGTACTACCTTTTCCATAAATATGTGATATGAATTCAGAATTAACCTGCTAAAGAAAGAAAATGAATGTAAGAAATAAGTTGGAGATGAAACTATAAACGGGTAGTCCTCAACGTACGACCCCAAAATTTGTTAAGTGAGACATTTGTTAAGTGAGTTTTGCTCCATTTTATGGCCTTCTTGCCACAGTTGCAAGTGAATTACTGTAGTTGGTAAGTCAGTGACCCAGTTGTTAAGTGAATCTGGATTTCTCATTGTTGTTTGTTAGAAGGTTGCAAAAGATGATTACATGACCTGGGGACATGGCAATGGTGATAAATATGAACCAGTTGCCAAGCATCTGAATTTTGATCATATGATCATGAGGATGATGCAAAGGTTGTAATTATGAAAAATGGTTGTAAGTCACATTTTTTCAATGCTGTTGTAACTTTGAATAGTCACTGAACTGTTCTAAGTCAAAGACTAAATTTTAACGCATTTTCACAAACATATATTTGAAATGTTGGTTTGTCTCTACAATGAACACTATGGAAGTAATGAGGCAAGGACTTACATTCCAAAGCAAGAACTAAGACAAAATGTAGGCAGAATGTAGGTGATTCACTTATCTTTGTTGTTTATGTATAGGTAAGAAAGGGTTCAAAAGCATTTTTGTGAATATGTGTACATAGGTATGAAATGAATATCAAGTTATAAAATGGGCAAATGTGAATAGATCAGTTGATGGATATTAAATGGTACTGAATACATAAATGTATCCAATAAACCACCTCATAAACAAACAACAAAATAGTGGAAAAACTATTTGCCAGAAAACCAAGAATAAAAACTTTTCCACATCTGGGGACTCTCAATTATCCTCATCCATATTCTTCAATATTTCAAAAAATGATGTGGCAGTAACTCTCTCTATTAAATATACGTACTCAAATTAGTCTTTCTTATAGGCAGATATTCTAGGAATAACATAGAAGAATAAAAAAAGACATTTACATTAATTCATTCTTTTCCTGCAGCTTATTGGATGTTTGACAAACAAAATGTGAGATTTCTTTTATACAAATTAACTATTAAGTGTCACATAATTGTTTGATCAGAAAATGGTAAGACAAAGTGTTAGGAAACAGGAGTGAAATGGGATCACATAACTCTAAAATGAAACTAACAAGACTTCAAGGGATCAGAATGAACTATAGAAAGGTGAAGACATTAGGTGAGTATTGATAAATACTTAGGAATTGATAAAGTTGAAACTTTTTAACCAGCACGCTGATAAGACTGATACAAATGATATAGTATTGTTTTTATTGTTATTTTAATGACTTAAAATATATATTTCAACTATTTGTATGCAAAGATCTTTACCCTTAAATGTCACTTTACCTGTGTCTCAGGAATAATAGTGCTGTCTTCGGGAGAGATCCTGAACAAGGTAGATAAAGGTGATGATACAATTACGGGATTTGGTTTCACAAATCCACTCAGATCGCAGCTAGGAATGTCATTCTCCTCCTTCTTCATGACAAGAGTGTCCATGACATAGAAGACGTTCCATGGAATCCAGACTGTATGGTACTGAGTAAGGAATGGTGATCGTTCAAATACTAAAGTTAATGATGCACCACCATTTGCCACCAAGTCAAACCTAGGTAAACCAGATAATTATTTAGTAATGCATCTTAAATTTATAGCTTTCCAATTATATATACAATTAATATTTAATGGTAATAACTCCTGTAAGTTAAGCACAACTCCTTGTGACTTCAGGAACATATTTATTTAGTTTTCCTAGCACTGGTTTGATACTGGTGCAAACCAGTTTTTTTTTGCTTCCCAATGTAGCTGATAAATTTGATTCCTCCTGATGGTCACTTATCAAAGTCCAATTAGTTTCAATCTTATGATAGTTAGCTATCATGCAACCTATCAGTGCAATGATTTTGATATATAGAAGATAGAAAACTCCCTTATTTCAGGTGCATGAAAAAAACTTACATTCCATCTTGACGAGTGATCGTATAACCAAAGTCAGGATAATGTAAAAAGGAGACATTAACTCCAATTAGTGGTGTTCCATCTGCTGTTAATACTTGACCTCTTATAACAGATGCAAGACTGTGGAGAAAGCAAATAAATTTAGATTATTCAGAAATCTTACAAATTAGACTTTGTCCAACAATAAACATTAAATTGTATCAGTTTCACAGCATTATAAGGAATTTAATTTCAACTTCATTTCAAATTCTTATTTACTTATGGTGACTCTTTCTGTTATACTTTAATGTATGTGAACATGCAATATCTGAATACCAAAAAGTTGCATCAAATAAATATAGCTGTGCTAAAGGTCCTTTTCAGATCCGGTATATTTCTTTCTATAAAAATGTTATTGGCTATGCAGTAATTTATAGTGCAATCCTATGTATGATTACTACATTTAATTTATTGAATTTGAAATGTTAACTCCATGTTGAATGTATTTAGAATTTGAGCTTTAGCATTTTCAACTGTGGCATCTTCTTTTCTAACTACAAATATGAGTACAATCATTTGGTGGTAGATTTCATTCAATTAGAAAATTAACACCTCAAAATCAATAGCCAATAGGAAAAGTTCAAAAAGCAATGCAGCCTACATAAATGGTATGATTTTTTCATTCTTCAAATACTATTGAGCTATTAAATAAAAATATTATTAATTCTATAAATTTCAATTTGTGGTACGTATGGACATATGTATGTATGCATTCTTTCCAATTTATATGATATGCTACAACAGGGGAACATTACTGTAAATGCCTACTAGTGTGTACAATTCTCTGATTTCAAATACAGGCTTTCTGAATTACAACCAAAGCATTCTGAGTCATTGGGTAAAATGAATAAATTAGTAATGATGTTTTAAAATCAGGACCTAATTTTTGCATTTTTCCAAAGAAAAGTGTTTTGCTAGTTTGTTTTTAGGCAAGCTCTTTAGGCAAGAAAATTTTCATCTTTGGGAAATATAAAATACAGAAGTTATGGGAGTCTTAAGAAACACTTCTCTAATACTTTTAATCAATAGCTGTGTCAAGCTGGATTAATACAGCTAAACTATTCCAGATAGGAGAGTTTTAGTATAGATTACTACTTTCTCTCAATAAGGCATAGAATACCTGCTTTCTGTTACCAACTTATTTTGAAATGTGCAACTGCTGAATAAAGCCTGTACAGGCAGTTTATGCACTGTGCTGTTATAGAGTTCACAGTGTTACTAAAGTAATTCATAATTTATATTATGCATTGAGTTTTGTTTTAAAAGTGCATTACTGCCCTTCAGAAGTATTTTCACATGAATGATATACTTCCAGCAGCACTAACTCAAATCAGTTGGGTAAGATTTGCAGAACCCTAATGTCCTACTAGAACGTAGATACCACAAACAAGAAAAGGTGTGCAAATGGACTTAAGTTTTATACATAATAGCCACACAGTTCGACTTCAAAGTTTGAAGGTTTCCAACTATCCTGGGGGGAAAAATAGAGCATCAGAAATGTAAAAAAGTCCTTAAGACATTACTTTTTATTTAATACTACAATGATAGTCACCTCCTATTGAATGGGCTTTCCCCAGGAATAACATGTGTGCTTTCTGGTCCTATAAGAAAACCAATCCGATCATAAAAGGATTTAGCAGCTTGCTGAGATGGTGATTGCTGACTTTGGCTAATAATATCTTGTGGGTCAGGCAATCCTCGACAGAAAGGCTGGTTTTGGCAGGAACTCTGCAAACAGCAGTCAGGATCCATGCAGTCAACTAATCCATCTACAGACAAAAAGTCAAAAGAAAAACAGCAATACTTATTAGTATTTTTTTTCTAAGGAGAAATTCTATGATTGCTGTATTGAATGTAATGTGAAATGAAATTAGAAGTTTAGCTTCCTAAAAAGAGTAGGGAGCTCAGATTGGTTAAATTCTTTAACTCCTCTCACCCTCCTCTAGTGATCCTACAAAAAAAGATGTGGGGTCTCTGTTTCACAGAGAAAAGACTGGAAAAACACCAGGCCCAAACAGAGTAACTCCTTTTTTCTTCAAAGTCTGTGCTAATCAACTGGCCCTCATCTACACCCACATCTTTATTAAACTAAAATAAATACATAAATAAAATAAAATAAAAATAAATGGAGATGTGTTACACCCCTTCTTGCTTCAAACACTCTACGCTGGCGAAGAAACCCTCCATCAAGGAGCTTAATGACTACAGATCGGTTGTTCTGATATCAATAGTTATGAAAACGTTTGAAAGGTTAGTATTGGCTAACCTGAAAATCATTATGGATCCACTGCTAAAACTCCTTGCAATTTGCTTACTGTGCAAAGAGATCAGCAGATGATGCTGTTAACATTGCAGTGCACTACATCTACAACATCTTGAATCTCCAAAGACCTATGCAAGGATCCTTTTTGTAGACTTCAGCTTGGCATTCAATACCATCATTCCAGAAATTCTTCTTTCCAGTGTCTCAGCTAGCTGTGCCTGACCACAATTGTAGGTGGATTATAAGCTTTCTAACAGATAGAAAGCAGCAGGTAAAATCACATTGAATACTCAAACAATTAACACAGGAGCTCCCACTCCCTGAACTGTGTGNAAAATCTCCAGAACTGTAAAGCCTACAAACTTCAAATTTCCCATGTATGTTCCTCTTGGCTTCTTGGTGCTCACTAAGAAAGGATTTTTCAAAATGACCATCAGATCATTAGAATTTCTTATATTATTATTAATATGCTCTGATGCTAAGAAGTTAGATGTTCTCCTCCCCCTCTCAATCTGAAACCTTGGATGTGGGCATGGCCAGCATGTGATTCATCGAGCCTGCTGGGTGGGAGTTTGGAGAGGAGCCTGAGAGAGAGAAGGGGGTAAGATAGGGGAGGTTTCTGTGGGGCAAGCCTGATGGAGAGAAGGGCAGAGGAGACACTGATCGGAACTACTCATTAATTTTCAAGTTGTAAGTGTTGATTTATCAAGCCCAATCACATAGTTTTGTAGGGAAGCATGGGTATTCAGCTAGTATTATACACTGCTGATATTTTGGTTTTATCCTTTAAATATGTTTGTAAATTCCTTGATTCTTAGACTTACTTTGGCTATATTTTTGGAGGGACTGATGATGTCACTATAGTGGCATTTGTGATTTATACTTTTAACCATGGACTAGCCTCTTTGCCCTCGTGTTATCTATTGTCAGTATGACTTCTGGTGTTTTCAGAACAATTGCTTTTTGCTTTTATCAAGTATTATAGTTTATACATATAAAAATGAATTTAGTAATGCACGGAATAGGAAAAGTTTTACAATTCCCATTTGTTTGATTGCATGTCATTTTGTATTTTTAAGATAATAATAATAATCAAATGCTCATTGTAAAATACATTAAGAAGAGTATTACAATTGTCAACCCTCCCAAGTAAACTAGATAGGAAACAGAACCAGATGAACTAGTTCTACTTTATTGTATGGCTACATTAAAAGTACAAATTTCTCATCGTCACTTTCAACAACCTGATCAATTATGGTGAGTCCTTCCTAGATTTCTTTTTCTGACTGTTAAGCACTTGCGGGCTCCTCTCACTTTTGTATGATCATTCCCTATGCAGCATGTCTTCCCTTTATCTCTCAAGGTTATTCCCACATTACAATAGTAGACTAAAGCAAGATTAAGCATAAAGGGAGAAAAAGCTTAAAAGAGAAGTATTCATTTATAGAAATGTAACCTTTTTAAAAAAACAATATGGAATTTAACAAGAAATACTTAAAAATAAAATAAAAAGTAAGGCAAGATTCCTTCACATAAGAAGTTTTTCTATTGATACCAGTGAAAATGTGTATTGTACGTGAACCCTCATAAAAGAGAAACTACCTTAATTTAAAGTACAAATACAACAACTTTAATTTTGTAAGTTCTAATTCCTATAGAATTTAATTTCAAATGTTACAATTATATTTGATACAGTTGTTACTAAAATTAAAATGTTTAAAATATTGCTTAGGGAAGCTTACTTATGTATTTTAATCAATATTCATTCATATCAGAAACGTTTTAAACTTTTAAAAACACTTTCCTTTCATCAAAAAGTCATGCAAACAACAAGAGTCAACTGCTTTTTTCAAGTCAATTTCAACTCAGTTGAAAAAAAAACATTACAAATGAGAAATTTAAATTTCAGCTATAAAGTTACCAAGATTCCTCTTTAATATGAAAATTTTCTTAAACAGAGAACTGTAAATCTCAAATCAAGTCATGTAGCTTCGGAAACAAAATAAATACTATACTTTTCAGAGTTGCAAGAATTTTTTTTATAGCAACTGGGATATAGTTTTGTTAGGCCCACATATGATTAATTATTAAACATCAGAATCCCCCCCCCCCGAAAAGCTGGATTTAGACTGAGCATTGGTATCATAAAAATAAAAGGAAATCTGCTCTTGAGGGTGGAAAGCATATGCATTCCCTTTGGAGGAAATGTGCTATATAAATGTTATTCTACTACTCAGATCCATTCTTCAAATCCATATATGCTTTGGGGTACATGAGCCTGTTAATGGAACACTGCCACCTTCTACAATAAGAAATCCAATATAAGATTGATGAACAAATGGAGAAACTTCCCTTTTGAATGATATCAAACATGGAGTGGGAACATTTTCAGGGCCCATTTGAAATCTGATTCCACAACAGTGGTTGCAGTAAAAACACTTATTTCTCTGTCTCCACCTAATCTTTAGAGACCTGTGGTTCTTTCCAATTGGTGATGATAGAAGAGATGAGTGACTGCAAAGCCTGTGGTTTATAGGTTGCCTCAAAACTTTATTTTATTTATATATGAAATGCAGAGGCTGTCCAACTCCAGAGTGACTCTAAGGGCTTATAAGAAAACATTAGAAAAAAATAAAAGGAACTAGTAGAAAGAAGATGTGGTGCTTCTAGACAAGCACATTCTGTCAAATAGAAAACATAACCGACAGGCTCCACAAATATCCTACCTAAGGTTTGGGAAATCAACCATAATTCCAAAGCCTCATCATAGTAAGAAACACACAGATCTCAGATTCTATTTCAGAGGGCAGGGACCATAATAGAGAAAGCAGGCTTCCAGGGTTGATGCTCTCATATCTCTTGTTTAACTTTTACACGAAGACCACTGGGTGAAGTTATCCTTCAACACAGGCTTAGGTAGTATTTTCATGATAATCAGCATTGTACCTTGACCCCAAGTGATGCTCTGGAAGTCTTGTCCCATTACAAAAATACAGTTATCATAACAAAGGGCAACTCTTGATTACAGTGCTTGATGTGTCTTGTATTTTAATGCCACATATGCGTCTTGTCTCCACTGCTATTGTATTGCTGCAATAGAATATTATATTGCTACAATATTCCACCATAAGACAATACTTCATAAATAAGTGTGGAATTGAAATTAGCCAAGGAGCGTTCATCATCAACTTCATGTATACAGATGACATTGCAATTTCTGTTGATGACAACATGAAAGCCATTGTTATCTTCATGAAAATCCCTGATCAGCCCTTTGAACTAATTATCAGTGTGGAAAAGAGAAATCAACTGACCACTTATGACTCATTCATAGTCATATAGATAAATGGTGTATAATTAAGACAAGTACAATAATTCAAATTTTGAGACTCTATGGGGCCAAATTAAAGACACTTCTACAACCAGAGATCCAAAAAGTGGAAACCTTCCACATACAGCCTCTCCACAGGAAATTTTGCATTATCTGATGGACTGCTTAAGAAATTAAAGCTGCAACAAGTCAAAACTAGCCAATGAAATACAAAAACAACAGGATATGTTGCAGAATGAGCCCATTTACTACTCATATGAGCTATTTTGGAGAATAGAATAGCATAGCACAGAGCAGAGCTGGAAGGGATCTTGGAGATTTTCTAGTTCAGTCCCTGCTCAAGTAGGAGAATCTATACCATTTCAGACAAGTGACTATCTAGTCTAGGGATCCGCAACATGTGACTCTGGAGCTGCATGTGGCTTTTTCATCCCTCTGCTATGGCTCCCTGTCACACCAAAGAAAACCTAAATAAATAATTTGAAACTGATGTAGCTCAAATCTATACACTCAATTTGTCATATTAATGGACAAACCATTTTGGTATCAAACACTATATGCAATAGATTACAGCGACAGCTCTGTAGATTTCAAAAATAATATTCATCTAGACCAGGGGGCCGGATCTGGACTGCGGGGTGCTTAGATCTGGCCTGCGTGGCTGCCCTGGAAAAAGAGAAGGACTGGCCTGTGGTGCCTCTGTTGGAGAAAATGGAGCTCGGGAGGGCACATACAGTCCCCCCAAGCTCTGTTTTCGCTGGCAGAGGGTTGCAGGAGGTAGTTGCAGCAGAAAACAGAGCTCGGGAGCCTGTTTTCTCTGGCAGAGTGCTCGGGCCACCATAAGCACGAGTGATGTTGAGCTGGCCATGCCTACCCTGGCCACAGGTACTTTGATCATCTGAGATCAAACACAAGCCTGATGTGGCCGTCAATGAAATTAAGTTTGACAACCCTGATCTAGACCATCTAGCAGAATTGGGTATTTGGGAGCAATTCCATGTGTAGAAGGTGTTGTGAAGTTCTGCTTTTTGATACATGTATCATTGTTCACAGTCTCCTTTGCTGTTTAAAATCTGAAACAGCTGGTTTGGAGCTTTGTATTTTTTTAAAAACCAATCTCTGCCATCAAGTTATTTTAAATTCCTAGCAATAATAAAAATTTTCTTCATGAAAAT